GGTCTGATTGTTATAAATGGAAGCTTCCCATTGCAAAAAGCATGGGGAGGGGCAACTTTGGACAGAATGCTTAAAACCCCTTGTTCATTTTTGCCAACCGCCTAGCACAAGTGGCATGTCCCCAAATTTGTACTCTGGGAGGCATTTCTACTCAATGGAAGCTCTTGGGGCAGAGAGCCAGAGAAGACGAAAACATGATCGAGAAGGCCCTCTATTAGCCTTTCCCAAGCCTGTGCCCTGCCACCGGGTTTAACTAAAACCTCCAGCATCTTCAGCTAGTGTAACCAAGTTGAGTGGGGATGTTAGGAGTTGTAGTCCTATACATTTTGTGTCATGTGGAGAAAAAGCAGTCTTACGCCACTGTCAGGCTGAAGGCCTCTTTCTTCCATGCCACCAGTGAATGCTACAGAAACACTGCACGGAAGTCAATGCTTTGAAACAAAAGGGGATTCTTTCATGCTCGCTTTGGGCATGCAGATTTTGGTGGACTTTGATGGGAAAGGTATCTTCACTACAAGTAATTCAAAACAATACAATCTTACCAATGTGATTTCTTGCATGTTTACAAAACACTGTTTTCCCCCTGTATTTTTGCCTAGGTTCTGTGGTGCTACTCAATGTGTCACTGCCTTGAGGCACTTTGACTTTGTCTGCTACCACGTCTCATCCTTTACCTTGCTCTGTCTTTGGCTAGAAGTAGTGGTATTTGTGAAAAGAACTTCTGGCTCAATTGTCTCCTTTAATATATAAAGCAACTTAATAATGTCAGGATCGCTTTATAATATGATTGGCAGAATGCAGTAGCCTGATGCTGGCCTCATGACTAATGAAGCAGAAATAATCAGTCTGGAGCCTAGGATTGAGGCAAAAAAGAAAATGTACTACATATTAACCGTAGGTCAGTGAAAGAAAGCTGGGTAGCTACATGGGGGAACGTCTTCTTTTTACGCAACAGCTGCCTGGAAAAGGTGTGGCTGGGAGGGACCTTGTTTTGTCGAGGGTGACTGTCAGTCTATCCAACACTAACCAATTGTTCCTTCCCTGCCTCTGATTTGAAGAAAGCCTCACCTCTCTGCCCCATCCTTCCCACTTTGTTCTCTGTTGGAAGCAGGTTGTTGGTTGAGGCCTGTTTGCTGAAAAGCAGTTTATCATGTTTTTAGTTTGCTGTTATCTGCTCGCTGTAAGTAAATGACCCCTTTATATTCTGTCTTCTTACAAATATCTCAAAGTCATTGAAACGGTAAGTGACAGTTAATGAAAAATAGGTGTGGATTAATCTGGGGACGTTGAAGCTATTCTGTTCTGAATCTCTGCACTTGTGCTGCTCAGTTAGAGCAGTGGTTCTTAACCTTGGGTTACTCAGGTGTTTTTGGACTGCAACTCCCAGAAGCCTTCACCATCAGCTGTGCTGGCTGGGGTTTCTGGGAGTTGCAGTTGAAAAACACCTGAGTAACCAAAGGTTAAGAACCACTGAGCTAGAGGAATTTAACCAACATTCAAAACTCAACAACAGAGGCCTTATACTCTGTTCCTTGCCTTTCAAGAATTACTGTATCTCGGGAAGGTCTAAAACCCCGAAGCGTCGCTGTCAGTCAGTAGAGACAACCCTGAGGTAGACCAAAGAACTGACACACACCAACACTTCAAAAGACAGCATTCCAATGTGCTAGACTCTAGAGGTACTTGTGTCTGAGGAGGGTAATGTTGGAGTTCTATTTGCAACCTTGCATGCTGTCTGTAGTGACTGGGATGGGCTTTTCTGGGCTAGGATCATTGTCTATCTATCCAGCTCTAACCAATCATGCCTTCCAGCCTATGAAATGAAAGAGAGAACTGTCTCTTCTGAGTATCCGCCCCAACCCCACCTCCACCACAGGAAGGCATTGAAAAATGTGTTTTGCCACCTGCAGCCTGAAACACTACAGTCGACCCTGTTGTGTTGGAACACCATCTTACTCTCTTCCCCTATGTGCAGATGAGACTTTAAGCTAGATCAGACCATGTGGCTACCAAACACAGCACTGAGAGGATGACAACAGGGCCTCTTTTTGATTCTCCAAATTCCGGGCGAAACCTTTTTCTGCACCCTGTGGAGATTTTCCGAAATCTCTTGAGATCTCTTCAACTTGAGGTAGTCAGAAGTGAGCAAAGGCTCTTCCACTGAGCTATGCGTCTTTCCCTTTGGGATTTTGGGGATGATACAGCCCTGTGTTGATAAACCCTGTGCACTGATTGTTATTTATGGGGTGGATACTAACAAGACATGCAAAAGTATTTGAGTCCATTCCATTCATGTCCCTAGGGGCTGAGGGATCCATTCCTAGGTCTGAGAAAGAAAAAGAGATGGGAATAAAGGCCAGTTTCGTGGGAAAAAGACAGAAATAGGGGTTAGTTACATTTCCCTGCTCTTAGCTGTAGAAATAGAAGGCAAGAAACAAAGGTGTCTCTTCCTGTTGTGTTTGAGGACGGTGAGAAATGTCAGAAAGTCTCATAGAGATAAGGATTTTTTTTAAAAAAAAACCCTACAACTTCCAGAATACTTCAGTTGGCTGATTTATTCTGAGTCATACTTCAAAAAAGTAGCGTCCCCTATTTCTAATTGTCTAACATCATATAAGTGTTGTTTCCCAGTAAAAAGAGGAATTCAGGCTGATCCCCCTAACTGTGCCCACTCAGAAGTAAGTCCTATTTATTTTAGCCAGAATTTACTTAGAAGAAATATGATTAGGACTTCAGGTCTATCTTGAAGCCTGAAATAGTATCATTCAAATATTTGGTCATCTCCTGCAAAATTTTCTAGACATCTTGGCCTTGAAGAAGTCAAAATCTGACACTTAGTTCCTGGTCTGAAGGACTGGATCTCACTGGAGAGAGGTGGGAGGATGAAGGAGAAATGGATTTTGAAAGTATATACCCTGTTTCCCTAAGACCTAACTTGAAAATAAGCCCTATTATGATTTTTCAGGGTGCTTGTAATATAAGCTCTACTCCAAAAATAAGCCCCAGTAAAGTGAAAACCTGCCCTCCACCATTGTGCAGCAACTAGAAGAAGAAGTGACTGTATTTGAATAAATGTAGATTGTTGTACATGCAAAAAATAAATCATCCCTCGAAAATAAGCCCTAATGCATTTTTTTTGGAGCAAAAATTAATATAGGACCCTGTCTTATCTTCAGGGAAACATGGTAGAAAGCCACCCAGTGAGTTTAGAGAGGATGGAGACATAAGATTTAAAAGCAGCTGTCCTAGGCATAAGATTGTAATCCTGAACAGACTTTCCTGGATGTCAATGAAATCAGTGGGATTTAACTTCTGAGTATACGTATGTAGTATGTGTAGTTAGCATCTCTCTGTTAATTTCTGGAATTTACAAGGCAGTTGTATCTTGAATTTAGCCGTAATTTTTTTTCTAATCTATGCGTTTCATAGAATAGAAATGCACTGATATACAGATGAAACTCATCTATGTTACTTTTCCCACCCCGTTATTACCCAATAGTCTTGTTAAGATAATAGAAGTTTTGATTAGGGTGGTAATATTGGAAGAGACAAAAGACCTGCAGTATTAGATTTTAAGACTGTGATCACACAACAGGTTTGAAAAAAACAAACAACCCTTAGTTTTCCTTTGCATAACTATATTTGTGGAAATGGTAGGATTAAACAAACAAACAAATATTTCAACATTCTGAAAATGAAATGGTTTGAAGCCATTGGTGTTGGACGCATACCTAGTTATATTTAGAGGTAACCCAATGCAATCCCAGATAATCCCATCATCAGTATCTTCAGCCACACTAACGGATCTTCTCTATGTAAATCTTAGTCTTTATCCAACTCATCGAAATTCACTCCAAACAGACACAGAAACTCTGGGGATAACCTGGGGTGCTTTCTCGTTTGTACAGGAAGGGAACTTTTCCCCAAAGGTATACTATATACCAAAGTCAACGTGCTACATCTAGGAGATGTCAGTTTTCCAGATTTCTAACCAGGTTTGACACACTCAGGTCTAAAATGACAGAGCTCCCAAACTACTTCTTAAGCCTCAATTTAAGCCTTTCAGAAATGAGCTCATTTGACCCCTACAAATTATCTCAGCAATACAGCCAAGCTATCCGTTTTGATCACTGTCTCAAATTTTAGCCCACAGACAGACAGACATGTTCCTTACTAATTCTGAAAGGCAGGTTTTGTGCAGAACAAGAGTGTGCAATTTTTACTTTACCATTCTAGAGATGTCTTGCTAAATATATTTCTTGCTCACCGCTCCTGCACAGCTCTCCAGATCTCTCCTTAGATAGAAAGTTAGTGACACTGACCATGGGATGCGCACAGCTGTTTTGAATGGATTCAGTCTTTCACAACACCAGAGTGTTGATTAAAGCCATAGGAAGTTCTTTGAACAGGACGCAATCAACAGATCTGCATTAAGAAATGTGCCCTTGACTGCCAAGAGAAACATCATTGTTTACAGAAAGCTCTTTCTACAACCCTGTGGCTTGCTCCATATACACATGCCGTGTTCAAGTAGACACACTGCTTAAAATGAATGCAAAGTACTCTAAACACTCCAGATGCTTATACTGTATCTTTCCACTAAAATGCAGAGGGAACAGACAAAAATGACACACTGGCTGGTGTGTGACTTATCATTAGTGCTGATGAATTAGATGAGACAATTCAGAAATCATATCTGATATACTACAGTCTCCAACTCTCCAGTAATAGTAATAGAATAATAATAGTAATAGTAAATAGTAATAGTAATAGTAATAGTAATATAATAGTAATTTTTAAACTTTCCTGCTTTATCCCCCAGGAATGTAGCTCTTTCTCTTGGGCAGAAGCCCTGATCAGAAACTGTAGCCAAGACCTCTATCTTACTGAACCCCTGAAAGCTTCTAGTGTAAATGCTGTACCTCTTGGCATTACTGAAACCCACACATACACCAAAAGTAACGGAAATGAGATTATTTCTCCTTCCCCACCCCACTTACCGCAATCAAGTCTCTGTGGCTCTGCGTGGGGCTGAAAGGAACAAGAAACTCATATGATCGCTTCTCTAAATTCCCCAGAAAGAAAGGAGTTTGGACGCTCGTCCTTTAAGTGGCTCTAAACATGGTTTGCATAGCTGGATAGCAGCTTATCTCTGCTTTTCTGCTCTTGCTTCCATACATGGATCTGTTCCCAACAGTAACTCCAAGCTGTCGAAAAGAAGCTATCTGGCAGCTTTCGGCTTCATCCAACACATAACTGATTAAAAAAAGCGCTAATCGTTCTTCCTGGCACCTTTAGTCCATGGCATAAAGCCTCTTCTTTGCCTCTTTCCCCCCCTCCCGTCTTCAAATCAACTGAAACACAAACTATTCCTTTTCATGGCTTGCTAGAACAAATCATTTGAGACTCATATATGCAACCATGAAAAATTGATGCTTAGGCTTACAGTGTGCTTAAAATGGCTTCAATCTCCAGTGTATCTCTCAGCCGGTTGGCTGCTTCTTCTCAAAATATTTGTATAGTAATCATCAAGACCCACTAAATATACATGGAAAAGACAGATTTTCAATCTCCTCTCTTTTTTTCCCCACAAAGTTCCCAGCAGTTTGTTTCCCCTATGAATACCTTTTATATTTTCCTTAGAGGTCAAGAGTTTGTTTGTTAAGTCACTTGGAAGGGCTTCAAGACAATATACATCATGTCTGTCATGAGGAAAGTTTAAGAGTCACATATTTGTGGAGAGAGAAGGAAGCGCAAAGGGAGAAGCACGACTGCGAGGCTCCCAGATTAGTAACAATAGTGGTTTATAAGAGCTGGCGCTACTATCATTACTGTAGGACTTGTGTTATGATGGGTGAAACTTGTTTGCCAATTCCTTCTGCTTTCCACTCCACTCAGCTTCCCCGAATACTGACACTAGAATAATCTTATTAGGGCACAAAGGAAAGTTTCCAGGTTTCCAAATGTTAATGTCCCAAATCCAGAGCTTGGCAATGTTGTTATTCAAATACAACTGTCAGAAGCCCCTATCTTAAAAGTCCCCAAGTACGTTTATACATAATTACCAGAGTTTAAATAGAAATCCTGTGTATCTCCTCCTAATGAGGCATAGGGTAACCAGGCAACCAGTATGCCTGCTTGGGATCAAACCAGATAATACCGTTGAGCCCATTTATTGCAGAGGTGCTCCCCCAAGTGGTGACAGATGTTAGTCTGCCACAGCGTGGGATTTTTCCTTACCTATACATCTTGCATTTAGAGTGCTTTATTTTGTGATTGACTCTTGGTGGAAGGTAAACGTAGGCTTAATTTGTGATTGGTGATGGACATATCTGTGAAGAACTCCTACTGTGGGAAGGAAATTGGAGGGAATATGCACTCCCCTTAACATTTAATTTGACATCTTATATGCTCTCCATGTCTTAACCTGGCTAGACTTCTTCAAGTCCCCCTCCTTTCTTAGCTTTTTTGTAAGCTTTAAAGTCAATCTGGGCAGAACAGGCCCTCAAACAGACAGTACCTCCAAACAGAGAATTATTCCCCGACATTCTGGAAATAGGGGATCATCCACATATGTAGCAAAGTACATGGACATCTTAGAGAGGTAAGAAGATCAGAAGATTTTCAGAGTCTTTGGTAGACAGCCAGCACACATTCCTGGGAAACTCCATTCAACTTGCTTAGTTGCCTGTAGGCTTCGTCCTGGTTTCCACAACTTGCACATAACATTTCCGTGCAAAACTAGTATTTCTTTTTCTCCTTTGTGAAATGAAACATGCATTTATGGATGCACACATACAAACAGAACAAGCGCAGAAGGATAAGCTGAATGATTAAAAAGATGGAGATAATGCCTCTGATGTTTAATCCTCATTCAGTGAGGCACCGTTTATTGCAGTTTTGTACAATGGGGTCTCTACTTAAGAATGTCCCTACTTAAGAACAATTCCACTTAAGAACAGCTCCATTTGCTAAATTTTGCTTCTACTTGAGAACAAAAATCCAGATAAGAACAGGAAAAAAAAAACCTTTCCTGCTCTTTTTTTAACCTTAGGTCATCTTAGGTTAAAAAAGTTCTCCCCCTAGTGGTAGAGTACGTATTAACCAGCTTTGCATTAGTTCCTATGGGAACTAATGCTTCAATGTACGAACACACCTCTACATAACAAAAAACAGCCAGAACGGATTAATTGGTTTTCAGTCTATTGCTTCAAAATTAGCTTCGTCAGAAGTGCTTTTAACACTGTTCCCTGACCTAAGGGGAAAAAAAAAGAAAAAAAATCTCCCTCTAGTTGTAGAAGGCGGAATAGCAGCTTCCCATTAGTTTCTATGGATGGAAAAGAGCAGATACGGATTAAATGGTTTTCAATGCATTCCTATGGGAAATGCAGATTCTACATAAGAACTTTTCCACTTGAGAACCACCTTCCAATACGGATTAAGTTCTTAAGTAGAGACCCCACTGTACAAGTATTGCACAATTTGCATAAAATGTCATTCCCACAAATGCAATAACTCTCTTCAGCAAAGGCAAGAAATATTTTACCATCCCAGGAGAAATGGTAACTGAGCAGGGGGTTGGACTTGATGACTTTATAGGCCCCTTTCAACTTCACGATGCTATGATTCTAAAAATGTAGCTTTTCATTCTGAAGGCAAGCAAGGGATTTACACATAAGTTGCCCTTGAGCATATCAAACTCATCTGTGTCTTCATGACTAGGTTTTTGGAAATGGAAATTTGGAACTGCACAATAGTGATTGCAATTTGTACACATAATACACATTAGTACTGCACACCTGTACGTTTTGTTTGTGTACATGTGCTTTGTTGCCCAGCGTAACATTCTATGACATACAAAAGCTTCAACAGAGTGAAAGAAGACCCTCAGAACCAGAAATTTGATAGCAACAAGGCAGACAACTTTTATTTTGAAGCTTCTTTCTTCTAAGACTGTTTATTCTCATATGCACTTGTCTCAATTCTCCATTTGCAAATCAGTTGGCTTTTGTTCTTAGAGATGGGCATGAACTGCAGTTGGGTGGTTCAGCCCAATCCAGTGCGGAGCCCACACAGGTGCTGCTCTCTTCCTTCTCCTGCCTCCTCTGTGTGCTTGCCCATCCCCCAGGCAAAGTGCACACTTCCCTCATCCACATCGCTACCCACTGACAGCTACCCACTGAGACAAGGAGGTAAAACAAGGAAACCCACAGCTCTGCCTTTTGATGGGCGGAAGTGGAGAAGGGAAGCACACACTGCAATCTGTGAGTGGGTGGTTGTGCTGAGGAGATGGGGAGGGAAGCACATTTCACCCGAGAAATGGGCAGGCGTGCAGAAGAGGCAGGAGAGGGGAGCGTGTATCACCCATGGAAGACCTGTTCGAGCGCCAGACAGAACTCAGCTGAACCGCCGAACTGAGAAATGGGCAAGCGTGCAGAAGCAGGAGAGGGGAGCGTGTATCGCCCGTGGAAGACCTGTTCGAGTGCCAGACAGAACTCAGCTGAACCGCCGAACTGCGGTTCATGCCCATCTCTATTTGCTATGTAATTGGTCATCAGAAGATTACATTATCTTCATATGAATGTCTGATTTCTCAGGCACGCAGTTCTGAAGTATTTGCATGACTGTAGGGAAAACATTGTAAGAGCAGAAAATACACATTTTCCTTCATGTTAGATTTAACAACAACAACAACAACAACAACAACAACAACAACAACAGCAATAATAATTTATTGTCATTGAATGTATATACGCCATATACACATACAATGAAATTCACAAAGAACACTCAGAGACCAGACTGAAACACACCCAACCTCATAACAATCCTAAAACCCAGAACCCCACCTGCAGGGAAACCCACAGCTCTGCCTTTCGATGGGCGGCCGTTGGAGGAAGTGGAGAAGGGAAGCACACACTGCAGTCTGTGAGTGGGTAGTTGTGCTGAGGAGATGGGGAGGGAAGCACATTTCACCTGAGAAATGGGCAAGCGTGCAGAAGCAGGAGAGGGGAGCGTGTATCGCCCGTGGAAGACCTGTTCGAGTGCCAGACAGAACTCAGCTGAACCGCCGAACTGCGGTTCATGCCCATCTCTATTTGCTATGTAATTGGTCATCAGAAGATTACATTGTCTTCATATGAATGTCTGATTTCTCAGGCACACAGTTCTGAAGTATTTGCATGACTGCAGGGAAAACATTGTAAGAGCAGAAAATACACATTTTCCTTCATGTTAGATTTAATAACAACAACAACAATAATAATAATTTATTGTCATTGAATGTATATACGCCATATACAAATACAATGAAATTCACAAAGAACACTCAGAGACCAGACTGAAACACACCCAACCTCATAACAATCCTAAAACCCAGAACCCCACCTAAGAGCACACAGTATCCACACAACATACAACACAACAGACCAAGCAAAGCCAGTACATGCTTTCCTCCTTCAATAGCTATTATGGCTTTGCAAATCCCTCCCTTTTGTTTCTCTAGGACCCTTACCTGCCTTTCACCAAGGCCCTGAGTTGTCTAATTCGTTTTGTTGCCTAAGGTTACTTACAATGGTTTACAAAATACTAGCCATTTACTGCAGCAGTAAGTGTAAAAGTAAAATACTTCTTTGCCACATTGCCTACTCTCTGGTTGCTAATTTTCATGTGCAGCATGCAGTGGCTTAGGTCAGAGCTTGTAACTACTGAAGACAAATCAGCCACATTGCCTACTCTGGTTGCTAATTTTCATGTGTAGCATGCAGTGGCCTAGTTCAGAGCTTGTAACTACTGAAGACAAATCAGCATTGAGTAGATTGATAGGATGGCAAAAGAACAATGATTAATATAAGACAACCCAGTTTTGGATAGTATAGGAGCAAAAAAGATATCTAAGCATGGTTAGGGCTAGCTTTGGTGTATGTTGATCTATGTTCCTGCCTGTCAAATAGAAGAGTGAAAGGGAACAGGAAATTACCTGAGAAGGAAAAAGGAAAAACATCTTAGAACTCACAACCTAAATATAGATCTAGAGAAGGCAAGAGAGAGACCTGGGCCCATCTGATTGTCTGTTTGCCCATCC